ATCGCCACACCCCGTTTCCACACCCAGTTCCCCAGCTCGCTACAGACCTTAAGATCCCCGCACCGCTCCCTCCACCCCAGGTGAATACAGGCCTCGCGATGTGGGTCCGGAGTCGCTTCCCTTCAGGTTGACGTCTCTCAGAGGCTGCTCCCTGTCCCTGGCCTTTTGCTTCTTCCTCCCGCTTAAAACCCTTTCCCGTCCCCTCCTCCTGTCCCGCGCTTCTTCAAGTCCTCACCGGCTAGGTTGATTCCCGCCCTGGGCGCCTCCCAGCCTCACCCTCCTGGGCCCCTGGAGCGCAGCGCGGCAGTCCGGGTCCCGGGGAGCCCGCGTCCTCTGCCTGGTCCTGGGATCCTGCAGACCCCACCGCTGTCCTAAGACGCCCTCCTCCTCGTGCCGGGCCCTGCTGCTCCCCAGGTCTCCCCTCCGCAGTCACCGCTTCCCTCAATCCGCGTTGGGAGGGGCCCGGGGCCTGTCCTGTGACACCTGACCAGCTCCACCCGCTGGAAAATGTGCTCCTCGGGGATGCAGGCGTCTTACTCCAAACCCTCCTGTGAATGCGTGGGATCGGGAGACAGAGAGGGACAGGGAGAGAAGCAGAAAAACTGAGACAGAGGAAAGAATGACGGAAACCCATAAACAGCTGGCAAAGCAGAGGATGGGCGAGGATTTGCAGCCATAGTAAAAGTGAAAGAAGGAGCTGAGAAAGCAGAAGGGAGAAAAGCTACTGGAGAAATGTAGAGAAAAGTGCGATGTCCAGAGAGATGAAGGGACGGCATGGCAGGGAGAGGGGCAGATGGGGGAGGCTCTTCAGACAGAGAGTCGGGGAGAGGAGAGATTTGGAGCCAGGTCAGACAGAGAAGTGTGGTGCTGGGACAGCAAGAGGGGGCAGCGGGCGACAAGGAGAGCAGAGGGAAAACCACAGCAGGGGGAGGCCTAGGGCCTGTGAGTGCCAGAGAGTGGGGACAAGGAGTATAACAGGGAAGAGAGGATTTACAGGGGGAGCAGAGATGGGAGAAGAAAGAGGCAGAAATGTATATACAGACTGGGGACAACGAAAAAATTGGGGAGAAAGAGCAGTCAGAATTGAAACAAGGCCCCAGAATGGGACAGAACAAGTGGAAGAGGAGGAAGGAAGAAGAAGGAGGGAAGAAGAGGAAGAAGGGGAGAAACAGCAGGAAGCATAAAACGACTTGGAAAGAACCAGGGGAAGAACACAGAAAATAAAAAATAATCTAATGTGAGAATGACAGAGATGCAGAGAATGAGGGAGGGAAAGACACAGTATGGAAGCGAGCGAGGGACCCTGGGTCCAGGTGAGTGGTGCACTGATTACATGTGATGATTACATTGTGACATTGGTTTCGGGGTTTATAATAATGCAACACATTTAAAATACGTGTACTCGGATTACGCAGATGTGAATAAGAATTGAAGAAACTCCTTTATGTAAAATGCCTAAGACATGTGCTTTTGACAATTGTTAGTATTAGGGTATAGCTTCATTTGCAATCGCTCTTGAAACCAGAGGATCGTGACTTCACTCGTTTCGTTTTGAGTCACCACTTCCCTTTTCCTGGAATAGGGTAGGGTTGGGCAAGTGTAGGAACTAAGAGGAAAAACAAAAATATTTTTCCTGTGGTTTTTCTTCCTGTCACACTCAATACCACAGTGCACATTCTATACAATATCTCATCTCCACTCACCAAAATCTGCGATTTTCTCCCACCAGCAACCCATTCTCTGTCAGATGAACTGAGTGTCCTATAGTTTAACTCAGTTCTGAAACTATGTACCTGGACTTAGCATCAGATCCCACTGGTTGAGGCTCAGTTCCACGAAACTGCCCCACATCAGGTGCCAGTTGCAAGTCTCACATTGGGACCTGAACTTCTGAGCGACCAGCTATAGAGTGGGGATTCCCTTGACATCCCCTCCAATACCTCGGGTTCTGTTAATTTACAAGTGTAGCTCACAGAACTCAGGGAAACACTTTACTTAGTTTACACATTTATAAAGGATATCACAGAGGATACAGATGAACAGTCAGAAGGAAGAACTGTCCTAGAAAGTTAAAGCAGAGGAGGGTTTAAGAGAACCACAGTATTTGTCAGGTCACTCAAAAATATAAGTGACAGACACCACTTACATACTGCATCCGAAATGAGGAGCAGTTTTAAACTGAGCTCTGAACCTGTAGCACCTCATTCTATCCTTTAAACAAAAAAACAGAGTCTCACTCTGTCACCCAGGCTAGAGTGCAGTGGCGTGATCTTGGCTCACAATAGCCTCTGCCTCCCGAGTTCAAGCGATTCTCCTGCCTCAGCCTCCCGAGTAGCTGGGATTACAGGTGCGTG